CCACAGCTGAGCAAGAGGGTTGGCGTTTGACTCTAGGTGGCCAGCAGCCGAAGAGGTGACCTGGTGAGAATATGTTGCCCAGAATAATGCTCTCTATTAGAGAGTGCCTTCCTGAGTCCACTGGCTCTTCTCCCTCAGGGAGTGAGCTGTACGGAAAAAGAGACAAAGACAACAGAGTAACAAAGAAGTGAAAAGACCCCAAGAAATAAGTCACAAAACAGAAGCCACGAGTAACAAAAGTCCAAGGGCAAATATAAATCTTGAGTAGACAAATACCATGTAGTAAGGAAAGAGTAGTTACTTGGCGGTGTCAAGAACAGCAGAAGCAGAGGGGAGAGATGTGCTATAAGGAAAACGTCGGCACGAGGAGCAATGGATGCCTGAGGCTGAGGGAGTGACAAGACAGCTGAGTCCCTGGAGTAGTGCTGTGTCCTGAATCCCTGTAAAGTATGGCGATCCATGATTGAGACTATTTCCTTTCTTTACTTCTTGTGTATCATTAATCCCTACTAACCAAGGTACCCTAGATAACACCTCATTCCTAATAGCCTTAGAAAGCTTAACACACACAGGTATCAGAGCATCTGGTAACTTTGAACTATTATCAGTTGTCATATTTATGAAACAACAGTTCTAAATGCTAGAACTTTCACTTGACTTTTAAGACCCCAATCTCAATCTTCAGGATACTCATTCAATAAATATTTGAATTTGTCCTCCATTTGTTCTGGGCACCAGAGCTACAGCAGTGAATGAAACAGACAAAAATCCCACCTTCATAAGAGCTTACATCTTATGATTGTTTGTACTTAAGTGCCGGACTCCAGGGAGTCATTCAGGGACAGGTCATCTCATGGCACAGTAACTTTTCTAAGAAACACCAGGAAGTAAAAAGGAGCTCCTGGCTCTGATGATTTTGTATATGCAAATCATGTTGAACTGAGAGAACCAAATATTTTAAACACCTGCAACATAGCCATTTTGCTTGGTATTAAGCAATGATCTCATCTACTCCAAATTTACCCTTCTATACCCTGTTTTGTGCAGCTGGGCTTGGGTCTCTGCATAATACATTTCTCTTTTGTATCCCCTGCTTACAGGTTCCACCAAAAGGTGGGGATAGAGGGAGACCGGAAGGAAGGAGGAAGAAAGAACATGCTATTTCCTTGCTTTCAGGTCAGTGTCAACCCAGTGAAAGGCTTTCCCTCTGACAGAAGCAGTTGTCTCCAGGCTCTTAGAACAAGCCACTTTGCACCCCCATGGGGATAGGCAGCTCCAGCCAGGTGGAGCCCTTTGCAGAGATCTGAACTTCAGTTCCTTAAGCCTCTCCTCTGAGCCCCTGATGCACTAACACCTGCAAGATAGTGCTTCTCTTCTGAGCTTCTAGTTTCTGAAAACCCTGACCTCTTTCCTTTGTTGTCCTAGTCCTAGGGGTTATACCTCTATGCTACACCTGTGTTCCCTTTTTGTTTTTTTAGTCCTCTAAAAGGTATTTAAGAAATTCTCGATATTGAATTAGCTCTGTTAAAAAACTAGTGTTATTTCTATTTTTCTGACTAGACCCTGATTAGCACAACCACAATAAAACAGCCAGTTCCCTATCACTGACATATTTACCACCTAATGAGAATTTTTCAAAGTAACCTCTCTAACACCCATCTGGGGGCCACTATTTCCCTTCTTTGGACCTCTCCCACTGTAAAAGGTCCCCGATATACAAACAGAGAAACATGGATCCCTCAAGGTACTTGGGGAGGGCTACAGGGGCTGTTTATAAACAGAATTGGGCTGGTAATTATCTCTGGTTCCTTGGAGATAACCTCTGAATCCTTGGAATTCCCAAAATAATAGGATACTCTTTGTTATTTGTGGTAGGTCCCATGAACCACATCTCAGTTTTGACTAACAAGATGACTTATGATCTGAGTGATTAGGAGCTGGTCACACCAGAAAGACCAACTATGTGATAGAGAGATCAAGTTTTGAGCCACATGATATCATCTTGACCTCCAGGGGGAGGAGGATAACTGGAGATGAGTTCAGTCATGTGGCCAGTGATTCAATTAAGTGGTCTACATAGTGAAACTCCAATAAAAACTCTAGATACCAAAGATCAAGTGAGCTTCCCCTGGTTGGTAACTATACATTGATGTGCTGGGAGGGTCACACCTCCTGAAGACATGGAAGCTTTGCATTTGGGACCCTCTTAGGCTTCTCCCTATGCATTTCTTCATTTGACTGGCCCTGGTTTATATTCCTTATAGTTAATCTGTAATTGTGAGTAGAGCACTTTCCTGAGTTCTGTGAGTCATTCTAGTCAGCTACTGGACCCAAGGGAGTAGTGAGAACCCCTGAATTTGTAGCCATTTGGTTATAAGTGCCTGTGGCCTGGGAACACCTGAGCTTGTGGCTGGTTTCTAAAGTGAGGGTAGCTTTCTGGGGCCTGTGCTCTAACTTGTGAAGTCATGCTAACCAAGGGTAGTTAGTGTCAGAATCGCAATGCAGGTGCTTTCTAACTTTTACTCAGCTGACAGAATATTAAGACTTTAACTAATTATACTGAATCTACATGCTCAACATTTAATTTCCCACACCAAAAATCACAAGGCCAATCTAAGTGTTTTTTAACATGTTAATATACAAGGATTTGAGTCTCTTACATTGGTGAAAATAGTTGATTCAATTAAGTAGTGATTGCTGAGAGCAAAGTGCAAAGTGCTAATGCCACTGTTACGTAGCAGTTTCTAGTTTGATCATATTTAAATTTTCTATGAAAATCCACAGACCTTAGCCCATTTTAGAACATGTCCTCCTTTTTATGTCTTGTCCTCTCAAAATGCCTTGTGAAGAAGAGATTGGTGGGTTACTGGGAAAAGCAACATTGGCTCATATATGTGTGAACAGTGGGAAAGGTAAGGAGAAAATAAGATCACCTGTGTAGTAGGCTTGAGAGATCTCTTTCATCTGCCTGCTTGTCCTGGTGGTTAAGATTTCAATCAATGCATCTTCATTTGTTCCAGTGCCCTGAAAAGGAAAAGGAAGCTTATTTTAAGAAGACTTAAAAACTTAGTTTCATGCATTTCAGTCTTAATAGCTTGTTTTATACAGATGAAAAGACCAGTGTTGAAGAAATCAACATACGGTCCTATAACGCTCTAAAGTGGTTTTCTAATTTTTCATATTTTATAATTAAAATAACACGAATCACGTGGAATTAACTGACATTAAAATTTTCAAAAAGAATTATACTCTAGTATAAAAATCAACTGAATAATTCTAATAAGAAATAGTATAAAGGGAAAAGCCTATGTCATTTAAGATCAGAAGTGAGCATTCAACATGCCATTATATTAGGGCTCTGCAATTCTTTTGAATGAGTTCACCCCTACACCAACATTCTGGGTCGGTTAGCATATGTCATCCTTTTCATACAGGGAGATTTTTAAAGCTTCAATAATGTACGTCACAGGCCCACTCAGTTTGAAGACTAGGTACTCCAGAGCTTTGGTCTATACTGAGGTCGCCAAATCACACTGTGACTGTAAGAGCAGCCATTTACAGTAGGACTTGTTCGAATAAGGCCAGTGCAGCATATGAACAGAGGCTGAATTTTGTCCTCTGTGGTAGAGATTCCTAGCTGTGCCTAATATCGCTCCTTTAAAAATTACGAATTAGTTTATTTTTAAATACACAATTTTTTGAGCAGTTTTAAGTTCTCGGCAAGATTGAATGGATCTGATATCTCTTTTATCTTCCTTGCTTAGCAAAAGAAGCCCTAAATTTTAACTTAGCACATAGCTACCCAAATAAATGCCATATTTCTCAGCTTTCCTTAGAGCTAGGTTTATCCACATAACTAAATTCTGATCGATGGACTTTACGTGAAGTATCATGTACAATTTTTGAGAGTCCTTAAAAATCAAGGGTGAACCTTTGTCCCTTACTCTTTTTAGCTGACTGGGATAAAGACATAATTGCAGGATCTTAAGCTGGATCTTTGTTGAATTGAGCTGGTCAGGGGACTGAGGGAGGATAGGGCATTATGGTCAGTTTTATGTGTCAACCTGGCCAGGCTACAGTCCTCAGTTATTTAATCAAACATTCATCTATGTGTTGCTGTGAAGGTGTTTTGAAGATATAACTAAAGTCCATTATCAATTAACTTCAAGTGAAGGAGATTATCATAGATATTCTAGGTGGGCCCAATTTAGTCAGTTGAAAGCCTTAAGAGCTCAGGCTTCTCTGAAGAAGAAATTCCACCTGTGGGCATCATCTTCCAGATGATGCCAAGAGTTCCAGCCTGCCCTTCAGATTTTGAATTTGCCTAGCCAGTTCCAAAATCGTGTAATCAACTCCTTGCAATAAATCTCTTAATATAAATCTCCTGCCTACTGGTTCTGCTTCTCTGAGGAACCCTGACTGATACAGATACAATTTTTAAAAATCACAGAGATAGACAGGAGTCAGACTGTGTTGGATGATGAAGGTCACGGTAAGAAGTTTGGATTTTAAGTATTCAAAGCCATTGGCAATTTATGCACGTGAATAGTATAATTTGATCCTAAAAGTAACTTTATAAAAATAATTTTGGCTATTCTATGTGAATAAATTTGAGGTGGGCAAATATGGAGGCAAAGGGACCAGTTAGGAGGCAATCGATATTGTCCAGTCAAGAGATGATGGTGGTTGAACTACAATGTTAGCAATGGATTTTGAAAGATGTGCACACATTTTTGATAAATTTTGGAATAAAGCTAATGGACCTGCAGGTAGATTTGGGAGCTCTGAAGAATAAGGGAAAGCAAAGTATCAAAGATAAGGTTTTTGGGATAAGCAATGGGTTTGATGATGGTGCCATTTATTCTCAGTGACAACAAAATAGAGAATATGACTCCTCAGGTCAGAAACAAACAAACAAAATTAGGATATTACAATATCCTTTCAGCCCCAGGAACATGTGGGCTCAAGGTTCCACAACTGCTACCCATTTCAGGACTTGGAGAGCACAGAAATGACATCCAAATCTATCACATTCACACCCATGTCTCAAGTTTACAGCAAAAGTTCACTGGTAGAAAGTCAAATCCTGGGCAGAAATGGCTTGCGTAGAGCTCATACCTTCATGGATTTCTTCAGCTGCTTCGCATCAAACACTGCTGGAGGAGTCACGAGGGCCACCATGAGATGCTCAAAGTGGCCAGAGAGGTCGCCCTTCAAGTCATTTTTCAGTTCCTAAAATAACAAACCCCAAAAAGGTTAAGTATGACATACTCTTCCTTTCTCTAAAGTTACCAAGTGACAGATGAACATATGTAACAATCCAGACAAAAATATTCCCATCCACAGGGAATAAACATAAATGGTGAAAATATTTCTATGGATATCAACCTGCATTTTATGATCGCTTTAAAAATGTTTTGTTTTACAGAATTTTTTCTGAAGGAAAGCCAGTGGAGGGGGTTCCGTGAGTGCCACAGATAGGAACTGAGTATTCAGATGCACTTTCTAGGCCCTTGATACTCTAAACGCTTCGGTCGGGGTAAGGAAAGAGGAAGAGATGGGGGAGCCCTGCAATTCACACCCAACTTCATTGGTAGGTGTCCTCTTCCTGCCTTGCTGCTCAGTGACTGCCAAAGAGCTTCAAAGAGAAGAGGGGAGGGAAGACAGTGGCTGGTCATTTGCCTCCGGTAAGAGAGTAGAACTTGGAGGCATCAAAAGTAGTTTTCTGGCAACAACAGCAGGGGAAACCCTAAATGTGGTGATGGGTCACATATCACCTATTGATAGTGTCCTGTAGTGCTGTTTCCACACATTACATAAGTCTGGTCCACCTCCCCTGGTTGAAGGCAGGTAACATGGTTTCTATTTCCAATATTCAAAGGAGTGTTAGTGAATAATTACCTTTCCTGATCTTGATTATTTTCAGCTCTGAAACAGGCTGGCAGCCTCCCAGACTGCTATGACAATGTGGACATAGACCAGGGTCTACCATTCCACTAGGGGGCCCTGCGTGGGAAAGGTTATGCTTCTACATGCAAATCGCATGCAAATGGATGGAACCAAGTGTCACTAGCTCTGCTTTAATTGCTGCAGGGTGTTTCCTCTCTAAAGGCTAAATTCCACTACCATCTGTTCTCAGCCCAAGACTTTCCAACTGAAACTTATTTCACATGCTCTCATTCTGTTTCACTGTGAGAAATGGTTGTTACCCTTCACCTTCATCCTTCCCCGCTATTTTGGAAATCCTGAAAGGCCAATGGATCATTCATGTTTCCTATAGGCGAGTGCGTTGCCTTGCCTCGAAATCTGGCAATTCGTTTAATTCAACAAATGTTTACCTGGCTCCCACTAGGCATTTAAATGTGGGTTAGACACGAACCTTACCCTTAGTACATTATGCTGTAATAGGAAAAATAGAAATATTCAAAGATAAAATTTCAATATAATATGTTAAGTGTCTTATAAAGTGTGAAGGTTAAGTATTTAAGAATAGTGTTTCAGTGGAGTCTGGGGGCTTGGAGAACACTTTCAAGAGGAGATGCCTGAACTGCCTTTGGATGTCCACTAGACACTCTCAATTCTCACCTGGACCCAAACAGCCTGACTAGTCTCTGTTATCACTCTTTCTCCTCCACAGTTCATTAGCTGCAACAGCTAAAATAATCTTATAAAAATATAAGTTAGATCATATTATTCCCTTGCTTACAAACCTCCAGCGGTTCTCTATTGTTCTTAGAATAAAATCTAAATTTTGCACCAAGACCCCAAAGCCTCTCTCCAAACCCTATTTCTTCCCTTTTCTCCCCTTTACTTTTCATACTCTTGCCATATTGGAATTCTTTCTGTTTCTTAAATATTCCCAACATGTTTTGCCTCAGGGCTTTTACATTTACTATTCTCTCTGTCTGAAATGCTCTTCCCCCAGATTAAGCAGAGCGAATCCTTAGTATTCTTTAATCTCAGTTGAAAGTAAGGTAATAAGCCCTCACTGACCTTTCACCACCTGATCTAAAGGAGCCATTTATCAGTCATTCCTTGTTAATCATCCCATTTAAATTCTTTCATTGCACTTACCAATATCTGAATTCATTTTAGTTATTATTTTTCTAATGGAATGTTAGCTCCATGAAAGAAAAGAGGATCTGCTTATTATACCAGTCAATCTCCCATGTCTAAGGTATCTTCTGACACAGAGTAATACCTGACACAGAGTAGTTAATTATTGAACAAATTAACTGTGTGATAAAGACACTCAAAATGTTCTTGTATAGTTCTTATATCGTTTCTGGTACTTAGTAAGTTTTTATTTGCTGAATGAATTAAATCTGTAATTGCATAAACATGTTACAGTTGGAAAAGAAATTAAAGATCATTGAGATAGGAATTCTCAGATAATCGGTCAGATAATTCCTTGTTATGGGGGCTTTCTTGTGCATTGCAGGCTGTTTAGCAGCATCCTTGACTTCCATGCACTCAGATGTCAGAAACGTTCCTCTCCCTTCCAACAGCTGTCATAATCAAAATGTCTGGAGACATTGTCAAATATTTTCTGGAGAGCGAAATCATTTTTGGTTTAGAGTCAACAATCTAAGGCAACCCTCCTTGTTTAACAGATGAAGAAATTGAGGCCCAGAAAGATCAAATGGCCATTCAGCCAGTTAAGGGCAAAATGAAGACTCATATTCCAGGCTGTTGACTGTATACACAGGGTACTTTCTGTTACATTAGGCCTCGAATAAAAGATCGGTGGGCATAATCCTGTGGGAACATCCCTGGTTTATTAGCGATTAGCTCTTTACTGCCTGTAATGTTAATCAAAATGTACCTTGTCATACGCTGCTTGATATTCCTTAACAATCAGCTGCCGCTGTGCGTTTGACCTCTCAGTTAGAATGCTGATGAGTGTTTTCTCGTCAGTTCCTAAGTGAAACAAAAATAATTTTACTCACCATAGACCCACAGTTGCTTAATATCTGTCATGAACAAAAGAAAAATGATTAATGGTCTGAAATGAATGCAGACAGCAGAGTGTTTAAATTTTTAATTTCAAGATTCTTACTGGGTTGAAATCTTTCTTTGCTTGGCTTTTGGAAAAGAAAATTAACTTTATTTGGATAGTTGAGGGAGGGATGAAACAATCCTTGCCCACATATTCCTATGACAGAGGGAGCAGCTAAAGAAATATACTGCTTTTGAACTAGATTTTGTCACCCGTATGAGGTTCAGGTCCTGTCTTATCACCTTTATTCTCCTTCTCATCTCCATACTTGATATCAAAATCTCCTTTTCTCTAGAAAAAAGAAACTGACATTTATTGAGAACCTACTATGTACTAGGCACTGTTTATTCATTGTCATATTTAATATTCACAGGGGCTCTAGATAGTAGGTATGAATAAGCTGTCTTAAAAGATAAAGACACTAACATTTAGAAAACTTACCTCATTTGACAAAGTCATGCAGCTTTTCAGTGGTAAAGCAGGAATTTGAACCCAAATCTCTGACATATATATCTCTCTCTAGTCCCTACTTCTCTCAGGCATTCCAGACCCATAGATACTTAACCACCGGAGTGAAGATTAACATTAGGCTAGGGCTAATGCTGGCCTGCCTGAGAATGACCTCAAGATCACTAGTTTCCTGGCAATTATAGTATTAAGATAATGTGGGAGTTGTGTCAGCCTCCTTAGCAGAGAGGACTAACCTGGGCTGAGGAGCTATGAGTTGGCTTGCTCACCTCGGGCATGCATGACTAGAATGGCATAAAAGATCAATTGGAATCCAAGGGTCAACTTCTCTGTATTTAGGTGACCCACACACATCTTGGCTACACATGCCCTTAACAATCAACAGTACACACTCTACATCACTGATGGGGCAAAAGAAACAGTGTACTTGGTTAGCTACTAAGTCTTCCAGTGGAAGATGCTGCCCCACTGTGTCTCTGGTCTTGTATTATGTACAGTTAAGAAAACAGAATTAGATTAAAGCCTAGTTTTTTCCTGCGAGTCTGAGTATTAACTTGGACTTGTAATGGCATGACTTTGTTGGTGCGTGACTAGACACCTCCAACTGCACAAGTATCTCAAACTCAGCATGATCCAGGTTGAGCTCATTCTACTTCCTCTCTAACTTGTCTTTCATTCTGTTCCCTTATCAATGATACATTATGAATGTAGTCATCTAACCAAAAATCCTGGTAGTCATCCTACATTCCTTTATTTTCCTCGCTCCCTACACAGTAGCAATCATCTGCATCTCATGAATTTGTCCTCTTCTCTGCCACTTTGCACTCATCATATTTTACCCAGAAACTTCAATAGCCTCATAATTTGACCTCATTTTAATTCATACCATATATTACTACCTAAGCAAATCTTTTAAAAATGCATCTGATAATATTGATCCCTTGGTTGAAATTATAATGGCTCTCTGAAACCTTCAGGATGAAGTTTACACCCCTTCGCTTATACACTAGGTCATTAGGATCTAGGTCAAGATGCTTTACAGAGACTGCCTTAGCATATGACTATAAAGGAATATCATGGCCAATAACAGTGGGTAATGATTTAATGTCATGAGAGGCTGAGATGAGTCATGGATCTGTTTCCTATGAGAGAATCCTGACTTTCTCCATGGAGCAACAATCTGGATCATGGGTGCAGTAGAAATCTGAACCCAAACATCTGACTCCAAAATATGTATATTTCTCTCTGGTCCATACCTCTCTCAAGCATTCTGACCCATATACTTGCAATAAAATTTATCATAACAAATGTTAAAAAAGAACCACAGGTTGGAAAAAGATATTTTCATGGTCTATAATTAAAAAAATATTGGGGTAGTTTCGGTCAAGACGGCAGAGTAGGTAAACACCGTGCTTGTCTCCTCTCAGAACCACATCAAAATTACAAGTAAATTATAGAACAACCGTCATTGGGAGTCACCCAAAGTATAGCTGAGTGGAAGTTCTACAACTGGGGATATACACAAGAGGCAGCCCCAAGACTTGTAGGAATGATGGAGACATGGAACTAGCCAGTCTCACACCCATGTGTGGTGGTTAAAAAGCAGGAGAGATATCTCAGTTGTAGAGGTTCCTCCAGAGGAGCAAAGGGTCCCAGCCCCACAATGAGCTCCCCAACCCCACAATGAGCTCCCCAGCCCAGGGTTCCAGTGCCAGGAAGAGAAGTCCCCACAACTTCTGGCTTTGAAAACCAGCAGAGATTGTGTCTAAGAGATGGAGGATGTCTTGAGTCACAGATGTTCTTCTTAAAGGGTCTGCAAGCAGATGTACTCACTGATGGACTCACTCGCTCTGAGCTCCAGTGCTGAAGCAGAAGCTTGAAAGGGACATACAAGAAGGAACTGAATAGTCTGGCTTCGAGGCAGAGGCTGGAGGGGCAGCTTTCTTCAAGACAGAAGTGCTAGCAGAATCCACTGTTTCTTTGTTAAGTCCTGCCCTCTCCAAGCAGGCAGATGCAGGCAGCCACCAATGCTGAGTCTCCATCAACCTGGCTAACACTGGTTGTCCTGGCCTGGTGATTTCCTGAGACCATGCCTCACCCAGGCTCATCTAAGTCGCTTCCAGTGGCTATTCCATACAAATGGCCTGTCTTGGATCATGCTTCAGAGTTTGAAAGATAAAATCCTTCAAAAGTTTGCAAAACCCAAATAAGCAGCATCTGGCCTTGGCATGACCTGTATCTCTTGCTGAGCAGCCTCAAGCCAGGCACTAGCAGCTACCAATCTTGGTTTATGAATTGGCCTCTCAAGACACCTCCAAGCCTAGCATGAGTGGCGGCCATCTGCAGATTGCTTCGTGACTCTTTCCAGGTGGCCCAAGCAGAGCACAGGCTGGAGCTGGAGCCCCTCCCAGGTGGCCCCAGGGCGGCACGCCTGATGGCCAGCTTCAACCAGAGCTGGAGCACCACCCAGACTGTATCCAAGGACAACACACTCCAACGGCAGACTTAGCAGGCACCAGAGCCCTATGAAATCAAATCCTGCTCCATATGGTCAGCCCCTCACCAGCCAGTCCTCAAAACCAATCAGCTCAAGGGTCAATCCCTTCCATTGATGTGCAAATAGCAACCAAAGCTCAACTATAACAGGAGAGTACACACAACCCATATAGGGAACACACCTGGAGCATTTAGCCCAGGTAACCAGGGAGGACTGCACCACTGGGCCCCACAGGACACCTACTACATAAGGCCACTTTACTAAGACTGGGAGACATATCATACCTAATACATAGAAACAAACACAGGGAGGCGACCAAAATAAGGAGACAAAGAAACATATCCCAAATAAAAGAACAGAAAAAAGTTCCAGAAAAAAAACCAAACAAACAAAATGGAGATAAGCAATCTACCAGAGTTCAAAACACTGGTTATAGGGATGCTCAATAAACTTAGGGGAAGAGTAATTAAAATCGGTGAGAACCTTAATGAAGAGATAGAAAACATTTTAAAAAATCAGAAGTAAATAATAAAATAACTGAACCAAAGACTACATTAGAAGGAATCAACATAGATTAGATAAAGCAGAGGATCAAATCAGTGATTTAGAAAATAAGGTAGGAGAAAATACCCAATCAGAACAGCAACAAGAAAAAAAAATCCAAAAAAAATGAGGACAATTTAAGGAGTCTCTGGGACAGCATGAAGTGTACCAACTTTTACATCATACCAGAAGGATAAAACAGAGAGCAAAAAATTGAAAACCTATTTGAAGAAATAATGATGGAAAACTCCTAACCTGGAGAAGGAAATAGATACACAAGCCCAGCAAGCACAGAGTCCCAAACAAGATGAACCCAAACAGGCGCACACCAAGACATATCATAATTAAAATGCCAAAGGTTAAAGACAAAGAGAGAATCTGAAAAGTAATTTGTACTTTAAATGTAAATGGATTAAATGCTCCAATCAAAAGATAGGGTGGCTGAATGAATGAGAAAATAAGACCCTTACATATGCTACCTACGAGACTCACTTCAGATCGAAAGACACACACAGACTGAAAGTAAGGGGATGGAAAAAGATATTTCATGAAAAAAGAAACAACAAACAAACAAAAAAGCTGGGGTAGTAATACTTATACCAGACAAAATAGACTTTAAAACAAAGGCTATAACAAGAGACAAAGAAGAATCCAGTAACCTCATTTCTGGGTATTTATTTGAACAAACCCAAAACACTACTTCAAAGGGACATAGGAATCCATATGTTCATTGCAGCATTATTTACAATAGCCAAGATATGGAGGCAACCTGGGTGTCCATCAACAGGTGAATGGATAAAGAAGAGGTGGTACACATATACAATGGAATATTACTCAGCCAGAAAAAAATGAAATTTGCCATCTGAAACAATATGGATGAATCTAGAGCATACTGTCCTGAGTGGAGTAAGTCAAACAGAAAGACAAATGGCATATCATTTCACTTCCATGTAGAATCTGAAGAACAAAATAAACCAACAAAACAGAAATTAACTCATAGATATACAGAACATTTTGATGGTTGCCAGATTGGGGGAAGGGGGGTGCGGGTTGGGAGAATGAGTGAAAAAGGGGAAGGGATTAATAAATACAAATTGGTAATTACAAAATAGTCACAATGATGTAAAGTATAGAATCAGGAATATAGTCAATACTATTGAAATAACTATGCATAGTGTTAGATGGGTACTAGACTTATTGGGGTGATTACTTCATAAGTTATATAAATGTTATATATAAATCACCATGTTGTACACCTGAAACTAATATAATACTGTATACCAACTATAATTGAAAAAAATGTTTTAAATTATGTTTTTTCAAGTTTGGTATACAGATTTTAATTTTAAAAAATCTTGCCAATTGTGAAGAAGACAATCCAACCAAAAAATGGATAAAAGATATGAAGAAGTCATTAAGGGAAGAGGAAGGAAATAAATGATGCTTAACCATATCAGTGATGGGGATGTGGAAGAGAAGGGAAATAAATAAACACATATGCAGAGTGAGATACGTGCATGACCTTAGCAAGTATTGGTGAGAATATAGAGAGAAAATGTCTCTTGTATTGCTGCTAGGAATGCTAATTTGTATATTCATTTCGGAGAGCAGTTTGGCAAAATTTCTAATTTGAAGATGAACATCTTCTTCAACCTAGAAATTCTTATTGTTATATTCTAGAGAAATGCTAGCAAATGTGCACATGAGACATAGCAGGAATATTCAATGCAGTATTTTTATATCGTAATAGAAAAGAATTGTAGGTAATTTAAAAGTTCCATCAATATTCCCATCTTATGATATAGTAATTCAATAGACTACTATGCAGTTAAAATTAATGAACTAGAGCTAAACATATCAACATGGATAAATCTCAAAAGCATAATGTTAAGGGATAAAAACAAGTTGCAGAAGAATGTATGCAGTATGATTTCGATTTATACTGTTTGAGACCATGCAAAGCACTATGTGCACACATACGTATTTATGGAATTACAACTTTCATGGGAATTAGCTCCAGAAAGAACTGGCAAGCACAATATTTGTAATGATTTATGATGATTATGATAATTACTGTTGTTGGTAGCAGTAATTGCAATGGTAGTATTTAATATTAAGTAAATATGGCAAATTTTAGATTTAATAAAACTGGGTTCCTTATATTTCTCCTCATTATTTCACAATTTTTCTAATTGAGTAAGCCAACTTGGGCAAAATGAACTATTGCACTATTAGATGGTGACTTTTTAGATTTGCTTTAATATTAAGAAAGGAATTGTAAAGTATTACTCACCAATTCCTCTGATTGCCTTACGAATCGCTTCAGCATCCACTGATGGGCTACAGCCTGGATAATCTCGCACTGTCCCTCGGTGTCCAACCTAGAAGGAAATATTTGAGAGTCCCGCTGGTTCAAAATGATATCTTTGTTTAAACGCATATTCCCATATGCATATTGCAAACATGTAACAAATCCACAATTTGCACACCTTCTTATCCCTTCAAGAGTGGTTCAAGAAAGAGTCTCCTTTCCCTAGAAATGCCGGTAATATGACATCTACCACATATGTAATGAGGCCTCTCTTTTTTTCTTCTTCTGCAAATGAGAAATATAAAACATTCATTCTAGGGCAATGAATTGTGTTAATTCTGGTGACTGAAGAATACTTGCTTTAAATTAGCATCTGTATCAAAGCAAGGAGAAAGTTTGAATTTCCTACATTCTCTTTGTTTTCAAGTGATAATTCAAAGCTCTTCACTGCAACTTACACGGAAGTAATTGTGGTTTACAGACTTCAAGAGGGTGTAATTAATATGATCATTGTTCTTAGGGAACACTACACTAAAGGATCCATAAATGAAAACCCCATTAGGACGGCCTGTTAAGCTTTGTTTAATAGATGTGCAATTGTGGTTGATAAATCCTGTTCTGAAAGCTCCACTGACATAGATCTTCAGGAATAGCATGGGAATGACAAATGCCACGATACTAATTTTAAATACATAAATTAGAAACATGTCACTAAGTTACGAAAGACCATCCTACAGAAAGAATATCTTAAAACTGCTTGTGTGACTATAGAACAGCCACAAAGATGTTGAGAAAAATCCAAGTGAGCATGTACTTATATGGCATTTTCTAATTCTTTGAATAAAAATCTATCTTTACAGTAATGTTTTCTTTCTAAACTGATTTTCCCATCCCGTTACTGAATAATACTGGCTCTGTTATCTTGTGTTACTACGGCTTCATTTAGGCTCTCCTGAAGTACTTGATATTTTCATGAAAAGACATCTTGTCACATTAAAGTGAATGGAAAATTAATGTTCTGGCACAGTAAAAAATGATAGTCTGTTGATTTAATAGATTAGATTGAACAGTTTGTTTCAATACAATCAAACATCATTTAATCTTACAGTTTCCAAAATAAAGATTTTGATACTAAAAAAGTAATTATGAGTCAGAAAGTAGATGTGAATATGCCCGATCTAAAGGCACCTGTAAGAAATCAGTCACTTCAACAAAATCTTTGGAGAAGTCTCTTTCTCCAAGGCTTCATATATATGTTAGCGATTCACAGAGCCAATGGGCTTCATTTCAATTCTATCCATGTATGAACTTTTGTGTTTATCTTATGTGTCCATCTTCAACGTGTGGTATTTTAGAAGAAGCAGCACAATATTACAGCATTTGAGTGCTACATGCCCAGCACTGTGCTAAGCACTTTATGTACATTAACTATAATCTGCATAACAGTCCTGGTGAATGAGTAAGAGTGATACATTTCACATACAAGACACCAAGAATTAAGAAGATCGGAGAATTAGTCCAGTCCACATGGCTAAATACCTTGCCACATTATCTTGTCATATTAAACGGTAGAATCTCAATTTGAATGCAGTCCTGACCATGGCAACCCGTTCCTAGTCTTTCTTGAAATGTGCTCTCTGAATCACCTGAGATGATTCTTTAAAATGCATGTGACTAGGCCCTGCCATAGACATATTAAATTATATTTCTTAAAAATGAGGTAAAAATAAGGTAGACATTACACATTTATGAAGCTCCCCGGGTAATTCTGTGCCATGCAGATAGATATGGTTGCTTCTGAATACAAAAAGACAAAATTGCAGTCAGATTCTAATTGTTCATGAACTATGAAAACTCAGGGCTTCTATTCTAGCCATGACCTTTTCACTGTCCCGTACTACCTACACATCAAAATATGCTGCACTTCCAAAATATAAAATTAAGAGGATGAAATTCTCAATCTGTTATGCAATTTGCTACCTAGTAAGAACTAAGTGGGAAGGGACTCCTTGTTTAATTAAAAGAAAAAACTACATAGAACACACACACGCGAGCGCGCGCGCGCACACACACACACACACACACACACACACACACACACACACACTGCCCCGCCCCTCACCTAGCTTGAAAAATGGCTCTGGAATTCTGAAGTGAAACCTTAGTAATTTCAAACTGCTTCATTTATTTAAATAAGTAATATTATTTATTTGATACACTTGGTCACCCAGAACATTCAGAAATATTTACATGACTTATGAAAAAAATCTTACAGTAAAAGTAATTAAGAGTCTTTTAAACAAATATATGTCAGGGAGTGAACAAAGTGCTTTACAGACAACTTATTTAACTCTTACAATAGCCTGAATGGGTGGATTTTATCATTTCCATTTATAAAGGGAAGAAACTCAATCTCAAAAAAAATGTGTTTGCTTAATATAACTTTGCTACTACGCCCCAGAATTTGAGCCTACTACCTCCTTGTGTCTAAAATGCCCTGTGCTCTATATCACATGACAATGCTTGACAGGATTCCACATAGTGGTTCTCAAAGTGTGGTTCCTGGATCAGCAGCATCAGCATCAGCAGCATCCGGGAACTTAATAGAAATGCAAATTCTCAGGCCTTGCCCACCCTAATGAATCAATATCTCTGGGGCTAAGACTCAGGATTTTTGTTTTTTTAAACAACCTTTCGAGATGATTCTAATGCCTGCTAATGTTTGAAAAACACTGCTCTATTTATTCTCAGCTGCCCAGAAAACCAAAGCAAAAATGAACGAACAAGTCCTAGATTATTTTATGGGTGTGGAAGAAGAATTTGATGATGAGCTCATTGTTTCAGGAATGTTGGCATTTTTGCAGCCTAACAAAACTATTTTCATGGCCTGCTTCATTGCAAGCTTAATTCTTTGACATTTAAATTACTAATCAATACCTGACTTAGTTTATCCACTAACTCTACCACCCTAACAAAGTGTCAGTGCTAGCTAGTATGAGACATTGCATAAATATTTGGCAATCTTTCTTTTATTTTTTTTAAACCACATATAATCGGAATTCCATACACATCCCTTAAACACATTTAGTTGCTTTCCTTTTCTCAAACTTGACCTTCCGATTCCCCAAAAGGAAAATAACCCTGAAACCAGTTGGAAAAGAAATTAAAGCAAGAAATGTCTAAATAAAGGAGGAACGGGAAAGCTCTTTACATTAGTAACAACTACTATCAACTATGGGCCAAGCACTGTGCTAAGCTTGTGTCCTGCATAAGCTCATTCCATCCTCACAAAAACTTATTAAGGCAGATATAATAAATTCCATTCACAGATAATGATGAAAGTGATGCTGAAGTAACTTGCCTGAGCTCGCGCAGCCAGCAAGTGGTCAGTCTCATCAGTCTTTGCTCCTAATTACTAGGCTAGGATGCATCTCATTTGAACCATCTTCTTCATGCCAATATAATTTTCCCTGATCTTCTAAAACTATCCTTTGGAGGTCAGTCATAGCACATGAGGCCTTGACACCATTGGTGTGGCCACGATGGGCCTGGGGATGTGTCTGCTACTACCCCTGAGAAAGGCCAGTCTATCCTTGACTCATGAAAGCCAGCTGTACCTATTTCTTCATGCAAAGAGTTTGCAAGAAGTTAAACACTAATGTTTGGAATAATGAATAAAAGTGAAAAATAGAAGGTGCCCATCCAACTGACAAGAAACATATTTAAAGCCAAATGATTCAGAGCAAGAAGAACAGCTGCTGCAGGTAGATTCTGAAGGTGAGGCAAAGCCAAATCACTCCTCACTTCATAAAACCCTGTAAAGGCCATATCCAAAAGTTAAGCTTTCAAGTCAAAGCCTTGTATAAATTTCCAGGATGCAGAAGAGCCAGGGAGAAGTGATGACTCTCTGCTCAATGTCAAAACACTTTGGGTCATAAAGTTTTGTGATAAAAGGAAAAATGGAATAGACTAAAAAAAAGACAATCAAAACTTGGAAACTTAAGATGTCTCACTCAATTTTTCAAGTAAAAGGTGGTTTCCAAAACCAAAGAAAGTTTACTATAAAAGGCCCTGAAATGAAATATGGTCAAATGAAGCAGGTATCATGGATTGAATTCTGTTTCCCCAAAAAAGATGTGTTTAAGTCCTAATTCATAGTACTTCAAAAATGTGACCTATTTGGATATAAGGTTATTGCTGATGTAATTCGTTAAGATGAGGTTATACCAGTGTAGTGCAGGCCCCTAATCCAATATAATTGGGGTGCTCAGAAGACAGTCATGTGAAGACAGAGACATACAGAGAGACTGTGATGTGGCGATGAAGAGATAACGGCAAAAATTGAAGTTGTACCAAGGAACGCCGAAGATCGCCACTAAACCACCAGAAGCCAGGAAGCATAGAGGAAGGATTCCCTCATAGGTTTCCAAGGGAGCCTGGCCTACCAACACCATGACTTTGGCCTTCCAGCTTTTAGAACAGCGAGGCAAAAATATTCTATTGTCTTAAACCACCGAGTTTGTGGCACTTTTGTTGTAACAAAGTGCCACGAACTCGGTGGTTTAAGACAATAGAATCCCAGGAAGCTAATATAGCTGGTAAGATGCAAGAGGAAAAAACTGGTAACCACTGGGTCACGCAGGGCAAATACCAGGGGCCTCATCTTCTCCCACAGGCTGGCAGTGATCGCTGCTGATGGAAGGTTCCCTGTCACTACTGCCTTGCATCCATCAGAAAATAGACTTTCAAGAAAATCAAATCATATCATTTCCCCTTCATATTCCTTGCTCTCCATTTAAAACTTTTTCTTTTCCTCTTTGCCTCTGATATGCCAGGCTTCTCCAAAGGCTACTCATTAGGTTGACAAATTATAGTTTTTATTATGATTAGATATGAAAGAGAGACCCTCGCTCCATGGTAGTCAAGCTTGGGTCAGGAAGTGGCAAGGCACAGCTCTTTAAAATTCATTCCATTCATTCCCAAGAAGCCTCTCTCTTCTCACTCAGGTTATACACAATTCCTCTCAAGGCTTTGTCCTGAAATAAAGCTCTCATGTTTTGATTTGAAATC